TCAGATCAGATGAAAAGTATGAAATGAAGTAGTTTGCACTTCATCTCTTGCTTCAGTCTTATTTTATGGCTCTCTCTTCTCACAACAGTTGTGAATATAGACGGGATTTACAATAGTACTAAGCTCTCCTACCAAGAGACACATATAAAACTGTCATTGGGCAGCTCATGCTGTCTGAAGTTAGTGGATGTTGACAAAGAACATTGCTAAGACTTAGAAGGCACTGGATTTTCTTCCAACTCAGAGTGAGACAAGACTTGGGCCTGGGGGAAGGGAGTTACTGGCGAGTTTATTTAACTGTTCACTATAACCTCCTTGTCTCGACAAGCATCCAGGACTGGCAATCTTAAGAATGACTTTTTTCTCACTTGTCAACTTGATGGAAGGAAAGACCTTAAAAGAAGAGCTCTCTAAAAAGCTAATTTGCTAGAAGCCTGTGCATGTAATGGGTCCGATGTAATGATTAGAATGCTAATGTTTAAAAAAGCTTGAACATTTTGGAACGCAGTGGAATATGGACTTTATCAAGCTGATGTTTTAATGAGGAGAAAAATGCCACCAGTTGTCTTGCCAAGCCAAAATCTTTCTGCTTCTAAGAATACCATTGACATGTCCCTAGATACAATCAAAGAAACATCTGCACTGCTTCCAGGCTGCTATTGTTGCTGCTAGAAACCAGGGACGTATTCAGACATATGCAAAAATGGACTTTGGAGTAAATCATCATCAGATAGACGTTTTAAAACCTGTGTTTGAATCCCCAAAGCTATAAGTTTTGAAGGGGAAAGAAGACATCTAAGACATAACAGAACATTGACATTAATTCATCTAAGCAGATTTGATAATGTAGGTATGATTTCCTAACATTAAAACATGTCTGCAAAACCTTTAATTTGTTATAATTCATTGCTATATTTTGATATAATTCCTTGACTGAGAGGAAGAGACTTGAGAATTACAACCACATGAAGTCTAGCATGCTTTTGAAGATATTTTGTCTTCCATTCTCTGGAACTATTTTTCATCAAGGTATCTAGTAAAGCATGCTAGAACTCAAGTACCGTATTTTTCGCTCTATAACACGCACCTGACCATAACACGCACATCGTTTTTAGAGGAGGAAAACAAGGAAAAAAATTCTGAATGAAACAGTGGATGTATCATTTTTGTGCTTCATGCTGTGGCCACAGACATGTGATCTGATGGTGAATTTGGGGTAGCTCAATGCAAAGATCCTGAGGATCCATGTGGATCCATGCTTTTTAACCACATTTTTGCACCATTGCAGCCCCAGGCAACAGTGGGTGTGTGATTTTGGGGGGCAGGCTGCTATGTGATCTGATGGTGAATTTGGGGTGGCCCAATGCAAAGATCCTGAGGATCCATGTGGATCCATGCTTTTTAACCACGTTTTTGCACCATTGCAGCCCCAGGCAACAGTGGGTGTGTGATTTTTGGGGGGCAGGCTGCTATGTGATCTGATGGTGAATTTGGGGTGGCCCAATGCAAAGATCCTGAGGATCCATGTGGATCCATGCTTTTTAACCACATTTTTGCACCATTGCAGCCCCAGGCAACAGTGGGTGTGTGATTTTTGGGGGGCAGGCTGCTATGTGATCTGATGGTGAATTTGGGGTGGCCCAATGCAAATATCCTGAGGATCCATGTGGATCCATGCTTTTTAACCACGTTTTTGCACCATTGCAGCCCCAGGCAACAGTGGGTGTGTGATTTTAGGGGGGCAGGCTGCTATGTGATCTGATGGTGAATTTGGGGTGGCCCAATGCAAAGATCCTGAGGATCCATGTGGATCCATGCTTTGTAACTACATTTTAAGTGGGGAGGGAAGGAAAAACACAGAAGGGACAAGAGAGCGGTGTGCAGAGAAGCAGCTGGCTAAGAAAGCAGGAGAGGGATTTTACGGGAGGGAAGAAAGAAAGGCAAAAGTTTCCACAAACCGAAGCCAGCTTTCTCTCTCCTCCTGCATGTTTTCTGGCTGCCTGCGAGGAGCACGGAGAGGAATTAGAAGGAAAGACCTCTGCTTTCCCCTCTGCTTGCCTGGAGGGGAGGGGATTTGCCTGCTCTTTGTTCCGTTTGAGCAAACACAGCAACGAAACAGAGGAGGGTGGGCAGTAAGACCCTGAGGCAGAATGCAGGAAAGCAACCACTTCCTCTTTTCAGGTTTCCCTCTCCGCACGATTGATTTTTGCTGATTTTTGTTCCTGCGCTCCCCTAATCGGCTCCAGGGACCCCCCCCCACATTCGCTCCATAACACGCACAGACATTTCCCCTTCCTTTTTAGGAGAAAAAATCTGCGTGTAATAGAGAAAAATACGGTAGTTGCAGCCTACAAATCCCTTCCTCTCTAGCAATCGTAATGAAGCTAATGCACATTACAAAGTAAGTTGTTTATGGACTGAAACTGAAGCTTCATTTGCTTCAAGCTGTATTAAATGTAGCTTTATATCTATGTGAAAGAGTAAAGCAAAAGGGAAGCTATATCATCTACTGTACCTTCTGAGTTCTTCATTGCACAGAAGATGTAAGCCAGTTGTAAATATCGTGTTTCTTACTGTATTTAGTGCTTCATTTTAAAGCAACACAGGAACAAGTAACAGTAGTATAAAACATGGCTTGTAACAGTGCATAAAGAGTAAACATTTACAATGTTGGAAGGAATGCCGTACAGTAAATATAGACAAACCACAGTGTTTGGGCATTAAAGGTTATTTGAATGGTGTGTCAAACATATGTAATCTTTAGAGCAGGGAGCCAGGTTTTCGTGCTCAGATTCAGGGCAATGGGAAGCACAGGTATTTGTGGCACATTTATTTTGTGGTTATTCTACTAACCAGTGATTTTGAGAAATTTACTACCTGATATACTTTTTGAGTTCTATCCAATAAAGTTGACCAGTTAGTGCAAAGACTTCTGTGTGCAACATATTGCAGATATTAATACTGTGCAGTTTGAAACAACCGGGTGTATAAAAACTGACTCCTTTTGGAAACGAAGCAGCCCAATGAAGAGTGAGCCTGATCAGTGGTCACAATATAGAGTACTGGCGTGGCTACATAGTGGTAGAAGGGGAATGAAATGGAGCATTCTGAAATAGGGCATATCTAGCTGGAATGCTAAACCAGAACAATAACATTTTGTTGTACGTCCCACTTTTGAATCCATCATTTGAACCTTTTAAAAAGAATGACTAAGTGAAACTTGGTCAATTTGTCCATTACAACATATTTAAAGCTTGCTTTTGCCTTTGCCTTCAAAGAACTTACTTACCATAACCTCCTTTACCCCCATGCACCAATTTGATTGTGATGATCTAAAATTTCTGGCAACATTGCCTCTTCATAACATAAACGTAATCTTGCAATAAATCCCCTCCATGTGTGGAGTTAGTGACATCAAATGGGTTTTGCCATCTTTACAGCCCCCCCTTTTATATGACTTATAAATTAATCTTATTCCAAAGATACTTTAACTATCAGTGCTTACACACTGCCAAAGTAAATTTAAAACAGATTCTACCATATTACATTTTAAAATAAAAAGGTGACTAAGGGGTTGCGCCACTCATCTCAATTTTCAGGCTGGCGTTTGTCCACAGACAGCTTTCCAGGTCATGTGGCCAGCATGACTGAACCGCTTCTGGCACAAGGGGACACCGTCACGGAAGCCAGAGTGCACGGAAATGCCATTTACTTTCCCGCCGCAGTGGTACCTATTTAACTACTTGCACTGGTGTGCTTTCAAACTGCTAGGTTGGCAGAAGCCAGGACAGAGCAACGGGAGCTCACCCCGTCACGGGGATTCAAACTGCCGACCTTCTGATTGGCAAGCCCCCGAGGCTCAGTGGTTTGGACGCGGCTAGCTGTTGTTTGGGGACTAAAACTCCCAAACCTCCCCGACCCCGCTAGCTAGGGATGATGGGAGTTGTAGTCCAAAAAACCCAGGATTTGTGTTAGAGGCTGCATGCCTTTTGTTAGGGGGTGGGGCAGAGCAGAACCTGTTTGCTATGCCTTTTTATTGATTTTTATTTATGGTGTGTGTGTGTGTGTGTGTGGCAGCATGCCCCAGGAGCAGGGCTGCATTTAGGTTTGATGAGGCCCAAAGCTACTGAAGGTAAAGGGGCCCTTTATATGTCCAGCTATCCTTTGTCAACAACAAATTGTTGCTGTTTTGTGTTTAATATGTGCTATATGGTAATTTATGGACCCAATAGGTATCCAAAGCCATTTGCACACATTGCCATGCAACCAGTCCATGCAGAATGTAGGCACCCTATATATAGAAATGAGCAAACTAGTGATATTTTAGGGAGCAGGCAAGGCCCAATACATCATAGGAGCCTACACAACACAAAACACTGTTGCTGTATGTAGGTTTTATTTTATTTGGTTTTTTATCTTATATTTTGGAAATGTGCATCGATTTTTTCCCCTTTAAAATTTTTGGGGCCCCCCAAGAGAGTGGGGCCTAAGCTATAGCTTATTTAGCTTATAGGTAAATCCGCCACTGCCCAGGGGCAGCGATTTGAAGAACCAAGCGGCAGTGTGTCCAACCCTTTTTTTGTTGTTTTTGTAGCGCTCTGAGGAATTATTTTTTTTACCATTCGTGATTCAATTCATCTGGGGCCTAAAGAGGCGCACAAGGAGGCCTAAAGTTACCTCAGACTACACACCCAAACTACCAACCAACGGGCCTTCAGGGCTTCTGAGGCAGAACGCTGCGCGGAGCGGAGGCCGCCTGCCCTTGTTGAGGCAGCTTCTCTCCCTGACAGAAAGCCCGGCGAGCTCGGGCCGTTTCCGAGTCCGGAGCCCCTCAGCTCCGCTCCGCTTCCTCAGCCCTGAAGCGACGCGTCTCCGGCTCGCTCCGCCTCCTGCCACGGTGTCCGTTATTGGGGGGGCTGCGGGGCCTACAGAGCCGAGACGCGCAGGCGCCGGGAGGCCGGGGGCGCGCGCCTCCCTCTCAAGGCCGACCGCGGTCTCCAGTCGCGGCCGCGGAGGGGAAGAGGAGATGGGCCGCCTCGCCGCCCTTTCGCCCTGGCTGGTCGCGCCCGCGTGCCTCCTCCTGCTGGCGTTCGTCTGGGGGGCCGAGGGCTTCAAGAAGAGAGGACCCGCCGTGACCGCCAAGGTGACTATGGCTGGGTATCGTTCCCTCGCCGAGGTGGTCGTCCTGCCCCTCTCCCTCCCCTCTTTCCTTGGCTTGAGGGTCAAAGTCTTTCCACGCCGGCCTCCTCAGAGTTTCCCAAACTTGGCTCGACAGCTGGATTTATTTTTTTTTAATACAACTCCCGTCGTCCACTGACCGCTGGTCTTTTTAACTAGGAATGATGGGAGTTGTAGTCCGAAAAAAACCCACACAGCTGGAGAGCCAAAGGGTTGTTGTGGCGCAAGGAAAAATGCTGGCCACCACGTAGGCATGCAGATGTGCTTGTAATGCCAGAAAATTGCTTTTCCTCTCTATTTTCCAGGTGTGTGCTTGATGAATAACCAAGCCTTTTTGGGGGGTGGAGGCGAGTGAGGACATCATCATCATCATCATCATCGTTGTTGTTGTTATTGTTAATATTAATTGAATTTATATACCCGCAGGTCTCAGGGCAGTTCACGGGATAAAATCAGATGCTCCCATGTTGGGTGAAATTTATATTTTACATGCGTAATAGTTCCTGCATATCGTATGACAGCCACAGGCTGGACACGAGCCTATGACCGTTCAGTAAACTTGCATCTTATGCGTGTTAAACTTGTGCACATTCAGCATTCAGGCCCATGTAATTTAGGTAATCAACCACCCACAGTAGACCGCTTTCCAAGGTGAATGTATTGTTTGCACATATCTTGTTCCCTACACTTTATGTTGTTTAATCCACAGTGTGGCCGATATATTCTTATTCAGTAGACTTTTGCTTGTACAACTCTTAACGCTAGGCATCAAAAAGAAATGGGGAGCGGCATTCTAATACTGAGATTCAATGGGGATTTTGTGGCCCTCCAGATGTTGATGGATGACAGCTCTGATCCACCCTATTGGCCTTGCTGGCTAGGGCTGAAGGGAGTGGAGACCAACCACATCTGAATGGCCGCAGGTTCCTCATCCCTCTTCTATTGGATGCAACTACTCACTGATACCCAGTGAGGTGAGGGGGTGAAATGCACAGAGCAACTGTGTATTGTTGGTGTAAGGACTTCAACTTGCGCAGTGGGGTTCTCCCAATCCCCTCCATACCCTTTGCATCTCCAAAATTATCTTGGGGTGGTGATATCGGGAGCGTCCCCAGAACAGCTTGCAGAGGGCGGAAATGGTGGGGGGTCATGGTCAGGTTTTTTGTTTTTTAAAAAAGAAAATTCTGTAGATGTACAGTGGTACCTCGGGTTACATATGCTTCAGGTTACAGACTCCGCTAACCCAGAAATAGTACCTCGGGTTACAGGGGCGCCGACTTATAAAAAATATTGGGGGGGCCCATACCGGAGTCCTGCCCCGGGAAGTTTTTCTGAGAATGGAGAAGTGATGATCTCATTGCCCTCTGGATTTTGGGTTAAATATTTGAGAGAATAAGCTTTATCGTAAAGCAGGTTTTAGAAACGAAACTCACCCTGATAAGGCCCATCTAAGGACTAAATGGACGCGGGTGGCGCTGTGGGCTGAAGCCTCAGCGCCTAGGACTTGCTGATCAAAAGGTCGGCGGTTCAAATCCCCGCGGCGGGTGCGCTCCCGTCGCTCGGTCCCAGCGCCTGCCAACCTAGCAGTTCGAAAGCACCTCCGGGTGCAAGTAGATAAATAGGGACCGCTTACTAGCGGGAAGGTAAACGGCGTTCCGTGTGCTGCGCTGGCTCACCAGATGCAGCTTGTCACGCTGGCCACGTGACCCGGAAGTGTCTGCGGGCAGCGCTGGCTCCTGGCCTATAGAGTGAGATGAGCGCACAACCCTAGAGTCTGTCAAGACTGGCTCGTACGGGCAGGGGTACCTTTACCTTTAAGGACTAAATGTCATCTACATAACATGCCCAGAATCTTATGTTTTTTTGCAAGTCATGTTGTTCTGCCAAAACGCAGGCTAAAATGACTGCATGGAAAACGTGGCATGCTAATAGCGATTTGAAGTTAAATATTCATACTGATGAATAGCTATAGCAGCAGAGAAACCCTAAGGTTACAACCACATTGGCAAGGATACAGCCACAATATTCCCGCACACCAAACACAAGCATGTTTACTTGGAAGTAAGTTCTATTGATTTCATCACTTTAAGAAAATTATTCAGCGGCGCCCGGCAGAGCAGCCCTCTCGGCCACGGCAGCCCGGCTCTCCCAGCCCCCGGGGGCCGCCCTCCTCCCTCGCGCACCCGCAGCGTTCCCGCCCAGCAGCACCAGCAGCCGCGCGCGGCCCGGGCTCCCCTCGTCGGCCGCGGGAGCCAAGGCGCGCGACGAGGGCAGCCGAGGAAAGGAGCGCGAGGCCCCGTCCCGCCCTCGCCACTCACCCTTCTGCAGCGGCCCCGCCCGGGGAGGCAGCGCCCCCAGGAGAGGCGGCGGCAGCAGCAGCCGCGCGCGGCCCGGGCTCCCCTCGCCGGCTGCGGGAGCCAAGGCAAGGGAGGAGGGCGGCCCCCGGGGGCTGGGAGAGCCGGGCTGCCGTGGCCGAGAGGGCTGCTCTGCCGGGCGCCGCTGAATAATTTTGCTTAAATTTTTGAGGGGGCTCGGGCCCCCTCAGGCCCCATGGAGTCGGCGCCTATGTCGGGTTAAGAACTTTGCTTCAGGATGAGAACAGAAATAGTGCTCTGGCGGCGCGGCGGCAGCAGGAGGCTCCATTAGCTAAAGTGGTGCTTCAGGTTAAGAACAGTTTCAGGTAAGGATGGACCTCTGGAACGAATTAAGTACTTAACCCGAGGTACCACTGTACATCTCTTGTAAGGTAGGGATGTGTAAGGTAGGGATGTGTAGGCAACTGGAATATACATTGGATTTTGTAGAAAAATCCTGGTCTGCAGCTGCTCCTCAGTTAGGGAGCAAAAGCGAGCAAAAGCCAAGTGCATTCTAGCATTTGACAATCTACAGACCTTGGTGAGGGCTTTAATTCCTTCATAGTAGTAGTCATTACAAGATATGGCGAGTTTCAGCAGATATCCCGATCAGCACCAATTGATGAGAAACCCAGATTTTTGCTTTTAAATGGTCATTTAAGAGGAAAGCAAGAAAAGATTAATGGGTATTTTTTATGCTTCCTTCTAATATAACTTAATGTGTATGCCTTTTCGGCATCATATGCAATCAATTTGGCAGTATTTAACCATCTGTGGTAGTGAGCTCAGGGGCCCCTACCTCTGACCCCCATTTTTGAAAGATGTTTTTCTCCTGAAAGCTGGATCATCTCACTGCTTTGCCACCTCTCCCTTGTGTTCTGTTTTCCTGACATGTTCTCTTCTTGAAGAAGTGCATTAGAGAACAGGTACTATGACATCAGCCTAGTATAAATTGTGCTGTAAAAGCTGTAAAAGATTGACATTCTGGTATCAATTAACACAGATAATTCATCTCAATTTAATATTCCTCTGTGTTTTGCTTCCAAGGCAATAGATAGTCATTGAAGCTTGAATCCAGATCTGTGCATCATTTTATAAGTAATAATAAAACATTCTTAGAAGTGGATAAAATGGATTTGGTCAGTGGGTAGAGAACTTGTAGCCCTCCAGATGTTGGCATACAACTCCCATTACTTCTTTCTGACCACTGACTGTACTGACAATGAGCTGATGGGAATTGGAGTCCAGCAGTATCTGGAGAATCACAAGTTTCCATCCCTGGATGAGGCAAAAGGAAGAATTTGAGAACGAGTTCAATAGATCTCATGGGACACTCACAATACTCTTGAAACTGGTTGCTTCCCTCCCCTTTCATAATGAATGGCTGTCTCATTAAGATTTCTTTAATAATAGGATCAATAACACAGTGGGGGTCAGATAAACAGGAAAGAGAAGGCAATATGAAGACAACTGAACACAATAAAATGAATACAGTAAAACAATCCCTTTTGAACAGGCACTTAGATCTTCTTCTTTTACCTGTGTTGGGTTGGTTGAAAGGGCTTTAGGGCTAAACTAGATATGATGCTAAATGCATCACTTGCTATTGTGTCTTTAATTTTTCCACCATTGCTAAAAGCAGTGCAAAATTCAGTAACTTGGAGAGCTTCTGCAGCCTATTGATAACACAAAAGAAAACCCGGATTTGTTTATTTTTTTAATCTCATTGGTATTGTGTGTTTTCTTAAGCTTTTATCCCTTTCTGAAATATGACACTTTATGCATTCTGTACGTCGTGAAAAATCACGTCCACCTGACCTAATATTATCACAATCACTCCCTCTAATCGCAAACTGAGATGGTTGAATGTTGAATCAACACTGGAACACTGGGAAGAGCTCAAAAAGGATTGACCATGCTCCCAAGCCACAAAATGTTGAATACTGGATAATAAAATGATAAAACCATGGAGGGAGGAATAGCCTTATTGAGCTCCTTATAGCTTATCACGAAGCTGGAAACCTGAATAGGGATATACTGCAACCCTTTGTTTAAGGTCCTACTAGTACACTTGTATTTCTGAATTCTCAATTCCATCTGACATTTCCTTTCACTTACCTCCTATGAGAGATTTGAATACCTCCATAACCAGCTGAATAAAATAAGTTTTCTGGATATACATTGACATTTCATGTCTTAGCTGATGTTTCTTCTGTATCCAGAGAAGGTTGAAAGGAATATATGGAAGAAAGCATCTGGCTTGCATGTATAAATTGGACCTTCACTTCCTATTGGTCCGAATTAGTGCCACCAGTGTAACAGGTTGCATTCTATTTCTTGAACTTTTAGAGGGAGATAAAGCTCCCAGGAATTGCCTGTCTGATAATATTGTAGCTTTTTAAATGCAATATTGAAAATAGTGAAAGTGAAGAATTAATATGCAGAAATCCTTTTTATAAAAATGCTGTGTACATTGTTTGATTGATTATTATATAATTTGAAAGGGAAAAAAATGTAATACCAAGTCCTTCGATCCAGCAGCGCTCACGTAATCAGAATGGGGAAGGTGATACTTTGCTGATGCTTCCCCCACCCCAAATTTGCTCCAGAGAGTTAGGGGATCAGCATGGGAGGGGACCCAGAGGGCTATGGGGGCAAGGTGGAATTGGCAAAAAGTCCCCTCCCCACTTCCATGCCTGAGAGCCTCCACTGCATCATAGGTGCTTGTGTGCACAGGCAGAACTCATCCCATGAATGGAAGGGCACCTTTGGATCCTACCAGACTTATTTCTTGCATTAATGATATTCTGTGGTTTTCAATGATTGCTTTTCTGTTTTTGGAAATTTGTAGGTATTCTTTGATATACAGATAGGTGGCAAAGATGCTGGCAGAATTGTCATTGGATTGTTTGGAAAAGTAGTACCAAAGACGGTGGAAAACTTCGTTAAACTAGCAACTGGAGAAGTAAGAAATTTTTAAAAATGTTTTGTACATGCATTTCAGTGAAAAGACAAATGCACAGAGTTTTCTTTGTGTGTGTGTCTGTGCACATATTTATGTGGTGCAGCATGGCTAATACTCCATCACTCGGCCCTCCTCTTCAGTTTATAGCTGGGGCAGGAATTGTCCTCCGAGTTCTGCTGCAACCAGAAGCACAGTTAAACTGCGAATGTCTGCACTGCCTATGTCTGGCTGCATTGGCTCTGAGAGATGGGAGGTGTTTGGAGTACCTTTTTGCTCAACACTAAAACAGCTTCAACTTTATGGAGATAAAGTCAGAGGTTGCTTTGCACTGCATGTCGGAAGTGCTCATAGGAACATAAGAAGAGCTCTGCTGAATCAGACCAGAGGTCAGCATTCTTGGGTCTCACAGTGGCCAACCAGGTGCTTATGGGAAGCTGTAAGCAGAACCTGTGTGCAGGAAGGCTCTTGGTTTCCAACAGCTGCTCTACAGAGGCATACTGCCTCCAACAACAGGGCATGCCACCATGGTTATTAGCCCTTGATAGCCCTGTCTTCCAGGAATTTGTCCAATGTTTTAAAGTTGGTGGCCGTCACTATATCTTGTGGAAGCAAATCCCAGCATTTGTGCTGAGCTCAGATGTCCAAAACAGCTGTGGGGATAATCACTAGCCCACTACTCTGGCTCTATGGGAGGAGAGTTAATGGCTATCTGTAACCTTATGCAAAGTTGGATTAAGGGAAGAGTAGAGTCCTGAAGACTGGAAGTGTTGGCTTGGTGACAATGACCAGCCAAAATCCATTGAACCCTGTTCTAGTGGTTTCTCTGCTTTTTGTTGGGTAAAGGTAATGTAAAGTTAAAGGATCCCTGGACAGTTAAGTCCAGTCAAAGGCGGCTATGGGGTTGTGGCACTCGTCTCACTTTCAGGCTGAGGAAGCCAGCATTTGTCCACAGATAGCTTTCCAGGTCATGTGGCCAGCATGACTAAACTGCTTCTGGTGCAATGGGACACCATCACAGAAGCCAGAGCTCACAGAAACTCCATTTACCTTCCTGCCACAGCAGTACCTATTTATCTACTTGCACTGGCGTGCTTTCAAACTGCTAGGTTGGCAGAAGCTGGGACAGAGCAATGGGAGCTCACCCTGTCGCAGAGATTCGAACCGCCAACCTTCTGATCAGCAAGCCCAAGAGGCTCAGTGGTTTAGACCACAGCGCCACCCATGTCCTTTACCTTTTTGTTGTGTGACACATCCTCAATATAATAAATAATAAATTTAATAAATTATTTATTATTTATACTGTAGGGCAGTGGGTTATTGTTTTGGTTTGTTACTATGGTGTGTATTTTTGTGATTTTATATTGTAAACCACCCTGTGATCCTTGGATGTAGGGTGGTGTAGAAATTTAATAAGTAATAAAATAATAATAATTAATTGACACAACCCCATCCGTCATCTCTTTTATCTCAAAAGTTCAGGGTGGCAGGCATCTTGTTGTTAATCTTTATTTAATCAATTGTTTATTTCATTATAGCGTATAGTATTTTGCCGAACTGAAATCATGCTATTCTGAATTTTGTCTCGTAGAAAGGTTTTGGCTATAAAGGGAGCAAATTTCATCGTGTAATCAAAGATTTCATGATTCAAGGAGGTGACTTCACAGCTGGAGACGGCACTGGGGGTAAAGTTGCTTTCTTTTTAAAGGAATTTAATACATAAATATAAAAGATATAGAACTATGCAGTCCAACTGATGCCAGTGACAAAGTCCAGGAATGATGTACAACAATCAAACAAATCTAGAATATAAAATAATTACAGTTTTCTCAAATTTAGAAAAAACAAAATTGGTACATCTTTGGCCAAACTAACTGCTATTTACTTAGTGGGCTCTATGTCACTGACTGATCAATAAACAACCTTCCTGTGGCATATGTAAATAGATAATTTTATTGTGATATAAGCATGGTTAAGGCTAATTTACAGAAGAAAACACAATCTTGGATTTAATATGAGAAAAATATTTCTATCTTGATGCAGCTTCAAAGAAGCAGTTCTCTTTTTCCTTCCTGAAACCATTTCCCCTGTAAATAGATAAGTTCAGCATCGGTACTTGGAATTAGGTCCCACTGTGTTCAATTCTCACCACACTTGAGTGGGAATAAATCCCATTGACTAGGTCTTACTGCTACTTACTGCAGATCCACAATCATTGCCTTAATGGTGTTGAATTTGAATGTAAAAATACAAAGTGAGGCAGAGAAATGCCATATTCTGATTCAGCAAATAAAGCTTTCAGAACACATTTAAAGACTAATTTAGTACAAGAAGCAAGATTTAATTTCATCTGATCTGTTCTTGCAGAGGTGACTTAAATGTAGCAGCAGACATCTGCATACACATCTCCTGTTCAGATCTTGAAATGAGTGTCAAGTTGGGCAAGAGATCTTTTTGTGTGCTGTTGGATGGAATGAGAAATTAGACACATTACATGTATATGTTTATTAAGCGCTTGCATGACTAGCAATTTCAGGACAGCTTGTACAGAAAATATAGGGATAGAATAAGCTACCTTTACACTGTCCAAACCTAAAACCACACTTTTTTGGGGGGCCAGAATCTTCTCTTCTTCACTACTATTTAAGGTAAAGCCTTAAACAGTAAATACCCTTAAAGTACTCAGTTTTTGTGTGCCTGCTAATTATTTAACTAAGACAGATCTGTAAATGAATCATCACTGCATAGTAGATATTAGATGACTAACTACTGTGGAGAAACTGCCACTGATATGGGTTGTGAGTATAAGCAGGGCAAAGTATGCTTTATTCCCCCCCCCCTTTCTAGTCTGAAGTGTCTGGGGAATTTTAGGAGTTCAAGAATCTGCTGTAAAACCACTTGCAGTTGCTTGTTGCACTGGTTTCCAGCACTTTTCTGAACCCAGTACTCAAGTGGATGTTTGTAGTGCAGGAGAAGTTCTGGTAATGCTGGCCCAAGTCATTTTGCCACTCGAGGCAAAGGAAAAATGGGGCCTTTACATGTGCAAAAGCAAAGCAAACTGCTAGTTCACCCTTACTTCAACATTTGTGCGTCCTATGATGCATCTATGGACAGCAGCCTAGCTTAGGGGGTGCATGTTAGACAATGTTTACTTCCCACACCCAGCTGTTGCTTCCTGGAGCAGCTGCCTTCCTTTGCCTAATGTTAGGGCCAGGCCTTGCTTGGTGTAGTGGTTAAGAGCGGTAGATTCGTAATCTGGGGAACCGGGTTCGCGTCTCCCTTCCTCCACATGCAGCTGCTGGGTGACCTTGGGCTAGCCACACTTCTCTGAAGTCTCTCAGCCTCACTCACCTCACAGAGTGTTTGTTGTGGGGGAGGAAGGGAAAGGAGAATGTTAGCCGCTTTGAGACTCCTTCGGGTAGTGATAAAGCGGGATATCAAATCCAAACTCTTCTTCTTCTTCTTCTTACCACTGCCAGTTACCTGTTTGGCAAGTATGGTGAATCCATTCCTGCTCTTTCCCATCTTATACATGCATCAGCTTGCAGATGCATACTCTTGATTTTGGCCAGGGTGGTATTATATCACCTTAGGGAACAGCACCCCCCCCCCCCGCCCTCCGAAAAACCATTTTTATGGAAATGTCTAGAAAGAGATGCAAGCTGATTTCTCCTATTACACAAGTTGCAGATTCAGTGAACCTTCATAATTTGTTAGTGCTGAGGAAGCAGGGGGTGCATTAACACAGCCAGTGCCTAATTACATTGCATGCTGGGATTGCTCTTACTGTTGCAGTTAGCATGATTCCTGGTAGCTGATTCAGCAGACTATCTAGGAAGTTCCATTTAGGTGCACTGGTGAGGTTGAGGCAGTTGAATGTGTTCTGGAGATTCAGGTGTTGGCCTATATCTTAAACCCTTTTAGGAAAAAAAGTCTTAAACAAAATATTGTTTCTTCTGAACCTGATGTCTTGTTTCCCAGGAAAGAGCATCTACGGAGAGACGTTTCCTGATGAAAACTTTAAACTGAAGCATTATGGTATTGGATGGGTCAGTATGGCTAATTCTGGCCCAGATACCAATGGTTCCCAGTTCTTCATTTCTGTGACAAGGCCTGGATGGTTAGATGGAAAGCATGTAGTGTTTGGGAAAGTCATTGATGGAATGGTAGGTAAAAAATAACTATACTAGCTTTGTTCATTAGTTGGAAGCAGTGGGTATAGCAGAGAGTGGCTAACCTGTGGCCTGAGGGACACATCCTCCCCCACAGTAGGTTTTTGTGGCCCCATTTATAATTATTATTTTTAAAATAAACATTTTTTTAAAATGATTGCTCCCATAGGTCCCCCACTGAGATGCCAAAAGGATTTTTTTGTGGCCCTGCAAGGACTTGTAAAACCAGTCCATTTGAAATGTTTCCAATTGACCACTCCCATGGGTACCCTGTAGTGACTGTGATGTCACAGCATTTTTGTGAAGTTCCCCAAAAATGTGTCCTTTAATTTTTTTTTTTAATGGCCAAGCTCACTTTGACATGTGTCCTCCAGAGATTTGAGCATGGGTCTACGTGACCCCTGGCTGGTTAGCCATCTGTGGGGTATGGGTTACTGTTTGTTTTAAAAGCTTATCTAGAATTGTCTACATGAGTTCTTGTGTAGCCTCTGCTTTATAGGCCCTTAGCAATCTAACTATTCTTAATTATGATATATGTGTACACATCACTAAAGTGGGGAATGACATTCATCATCATCATCATCGATTTATTCAGTGCTTTTTTCTAAAAAAAGTTTAAGGGTACTCTCATTTTGACTCAAGAAAATCACCAAATTGGGTAAAAGAAATACAGTAAATGGGAAAAAGTACAAAGATTCGCAAAATGTTTAGGGCTATGCATACCTCTGCGTTGTCGTCCCCGAAAAAAAACACCACTGGATTTATTAATCACCTTGTACACAACTGTCTCCAGGTGGTGCACAGCAAGAACAATTAAAAACAGATTAAAAACAGCAAATACATTTAAAACAAAATTAAAATATTAATGCACATCAGGCAGCTGGCTACTGGTATTTGTGTTTTGGTAATCTTCAGGACAGACTGCTGTAATTTGCTCTATGTGGAGCTGCCTTGCGAAGGATTGTTCAAAAGCTGAAACTGGTTCGAAACAGAGTTGCTGGGTTATTGGCTGCAGTCAGTTGCTGCAAACATCTTGCTGGCGTTTCACTGGCTGTGATCAGGCGCAGTTTAAAGTGCTGGTGCTTCCCTTTAAAGCCCTAGGCAGCACAGGGCTTGCATAGCAAAATGAACACTTGCCCCCCCCCCCTTTCAGCTTGCCTGTGCGCTGATGGAATTTTCGGATACCCCTCTGTGGTAAAGAGTGGTGGCCTAGGTAGTGGAACTTCCTTTCCAGAGAGACTTGCTTGGAAGCCTACATTATCTTTTTAGCACCAGGTTAAGATGTTTCTGTTTCCAGCTTTTAAACTTTTAAGTATTGCTTTTAGATGCTGCTGCGGTTTATTATTTTATTTTATTTTAAATGTAAAACTGAAAGCGTTGACATGTGGGACATAATGCTTAAAACAGTTTCTAGGGGATGGGGCACAAATGCAGTGCCTTGCAGGCTCATGGTGCCCACAGAGGTCTCCCCCAGTGCCAACAAGGGTTCTGTTTCCTGCCTTGGCTGAAATAAAGCCTGAAAGATGGCTTTCTACTTTAGCCAATAGAAGGCTTTTTTCAAGCCTAACTGTGGTGTGTGGGGCACTTTGTGGGGTGGTGTCTACAACTATCTCCAGCTGTGACTTCCCATTTCAAAAACATCCCCATGTCACAATTAGGTTTCAAAGCAGCCTACTGTTTTCTATCAGAAGCACAGAAGCAGACTGATTGTGACCTTAGTGGGGAGCTACAGAGCAAAAATATATATAAGCAGGAGTTAAGGGAAATCCCACAAAATGTAAACTCAGCAGTACATGTCACATCTATGTTGTGTTTGACAACAGAGGTCAGTTGTTTTTCTTCTTTTAGTTAGTGGTGCACGCCATAGAGCTCCAGCCGGTAGATGACGACGACCGCCCTCTTCAAGACTGTGTGATTGTTAATAGTGGGAAAATAGATGTAAAAGAACCATTTGTGGTTGAAGTAGATGACTGGAGAAGTTGACGGCAACGTGAGCAAAGGAACTGCAATGGCTTCTCCTCTGGCTAAAAGCAGGCAAGGGTATCTGAAGATTCTTTTGCAAGAGAACGTGGTAACCTCACAGGTAGCATTGAAATATCTAGGTGCTAAATCCAGAGGACTACTTGATTGCCTTTCCAGGAAGTAGTCTTATGGGGGGAAAACATTAGGAATGTATTGACTTAAGTGGTTGAAGGCAATAATTTTCCTGCTCTTTGATTATTCATATGCTACTTTTATTAACAGCTCGCCCTCATTCTTTGGTCATGCGAGTCTTCCACCTTATGGATAGGGTTTTATAAAATATCTCATCCTGGAAACACTTCAGCATTTAGTAGTTTGTGGCAATGGAAAACACACTCCTTCAGTCTGCTCCTCTAAAACATGTTCTCTGCTTCAAGCACCTGACACAGTTCTCTTTTCATATAAAGAATATTTGGGACTCTTCTTTCCATTCCTTTTTATAACAGGGGTTTCCTGCATCAATGATGGACACATGTGCAGGTCCTATGGCATTTATGATGAATTTAAATTTGTTCAAATTCAATATATGCAGAATGTGAGCGTATTACTGTTGCAAATAAGTCTAAACCCACTGTTGTGTATTGATATTTTATACATACATTAAACTTCTGCTAAAAAGCTATTCTTGTTTTCTGAACATATTGCCCTGTTTGCCATGCAACAGTATAAAGATGTAAAAGTATTTTCATTCGCTGCATATGCATGTAATGCTAAACCTTGATTAGCTACTTTGGGGATGAAGTAGAAAGGGTTTGAGAAAAATGCTGGGCTTGTGTGGTGCTCCCCTTGCTCTGCAGAGCATTGGGACTTCTGATGCAGGGCTACTTTCACTTTCAAAGACATGTGGCTTAGTATTAGTTATGAATCAGATATAGTAGTTTAAATCCTGGTTTGGTATACAGTCATACCTCATGTTATGGACGCTTCAGGTTACGTGTTTTCGGGTTGCGGACCGTGGGAAACCTGGAAGTACCGGAACAGGTTACTTCCAGGTTTTGTTGCTCATGCATGCACAGAAGCGCCAAATCGTGTCAGCGCCTGCGCAGATGTGGCGCTTCAGGATGTGAACGCTGCGGGTTGCGGACGTGCCTCCATCACAGATTAGGTTCACAACCCAAGGTTCCACTGTACACTCTGGGGCATAATCCATGGTTTGAGACTATCCTGTTTAGAAACTGACCACAAGCTGTGATTCCTTCATAACTCTTAACACAACCACCGGACTAATAGAGCAGCAAGCATTGACAAAAGAATTCAACTGAGTAGGTTGCTATTAAGAAACACTAGAATTAGACCAGAAATAGATGCACGTCAAACGCTAACGTATGCAATGTAATGCCAATGTTTTATTTTGGGTTCTGACATCTTGTGAAACATAAGCATATGGTTCACTTAGACAATTGACCTCTGAATATTTATTAGCTGATTATTTTTACCCATCATGTTCTGTCTGCTTCCTGCTACATAATGGTACAAGTTAAATAACATGGGAAAGTTATGCTCACCAAACAGAGTGTATTGGCTGAACGCACAAGGTTTGTTGCCAGGGTCCTGAAGTAAATTTAAGTCATACTTAAGATAATATAGATATGATATAATCACATCAGAAATACTAATAATAAGCTTAGATTACATTTCAAGTTTGGGCAGTAATTCTCTTAACATTTTTTTCCGGTCTTGCCTGTGTAATAAGTTGCCCTGTGTACCCACTGCCAGCAGTGGATACTACACTGAGACAAAAGGCTTAGTGTAGTAATTTATTATTTTAAAAAATCAATACATGATGAAAGTTGTTAGTGTAATTCAGCTTATGAATGTCAGCTTTTAAAACATTTGGAGTTGGGTAGACAGATTCAACAGTAGCGTTTTCTCCATTCATAAATTTAAAAGCAGCAATATTAGTGATACACTAAATTAATTTTAAAAGGGGAAATGTTCCATCATTAAATATCATCTCCACTGTGACCACATTCTGTTGTCTTAGGAGTTTTACTAAAAATGTGCAGTTCCAGGAAGAGGATGAGTTTATTTCAGTTACTATCCATCCAAACCCATTTTCTACCTGGGTTGTAGATGAGGATAAAACAATCCGCGGAGAACACCTTCAATAACTACGTTTGGAAAGTCATCTGGAAAAAAAAGGAAAGAAGAAAAACTGCTTTCTTACATATGTCAATACAATATAAATGTTTTTGTAGAACTTAACAAGGCAAGGCCCAGTGTAATTTAGGATATTGCATCACCACCATGTTTATCCATGCTCAGGATTGTGCTATTAGTAATGCTGTTTCAGCACTAAACCCACTTTAGTGTAGCACTGGGCATTGCCTGAATGCACTGCCAGATTTGTAGCTTATTGATTTAAAGGGATGTTCTAATACTTAATGCTGCTAGGCTCCAGCTCTTTATCTGAATCTTTTCTCACAAGGAAGATGGATTACACTGGCAATTCAATTTCTAACAAAATCTCAATACACTTGAAGGAATTCCAAGATTTCTACTGGGAATACTTCACAGCAGTTTTTCCATTGTAGTTTACAGCACTGTTTAGTCCAAGTTGACTGGAAGAGCCTGATGCCATCACATAAGCATCCTTAAAGCATCTAGTCAACGTAAAGGGACAGATTCTTGCAATAAGTTCCAAAGGAACAGTATTCCTAAAAACAAAGGATGCTAATCATCGTAATAAGATAAGCTAACGTGAGGAGACTTGCAGAGAAGAGAAGAAATGCATAAATGTGATTAAAGCACATTTATTCTACAAGTCCATAGCATTTTCTCCAGTTTCGCATTAACTCTATAAACAGACAAGACAAAGCATTGTGAAGAAACAAAATATAGTAAGACTTAAGTAATTTATTTAACAAATGCTGATCCATTATTACTGTTCAGGAATTTTGACTGCTGTAAATGTTCAACATAAGCCAAACTTTTGTGTTGTTGTTGTACTACCCTTCATCTATAGATCTCAGGGCAGTTCACAACATAAAATTACAATACTATTCAGCAGTTTTTAAAATCAGCTCTTGGAATTTCACAAACGCTTGTCTGACCTGAAAAACTAGGGGCTGCCCCCTGCTTGCCAGCTCCCCTGCCATTCCTCCCTACATTAACCCCTTAGAATTTATTCCCACACCATGAAACTACTAAGATCACTTTTGAAACTCTTTCTGAAGCCTTTTCTTCTACTTAACAGCCCTGCTTTGCATTCATTTTCACCTTCACTGCCATGTCCATACTTCCTCCTCTTGTGCAAACCTCCCGCTGCACATAAACCATTTTCTGGGTAACTTCCTGCATTTTCCTTCTCCCACACACTGCAGCTACTAAGCACCCCTTTTCACCTTGCGCCCAGTTTTGAAGTCACCATCCTCTCCTATACCTTTCATGTCCTTGCTTCCATCTTCACTCCCATTTCCATGCCTCCTATGCCTTCCCTTTTGGGACCACCCCCCCTTTACACTTTCACACATTTTCCTATACCCCTCCTTCCTTTTCTCAACCTTAGCACACAGATCAGCCCATTTCCATTCCTTCCCCCTCTTGCCTAATTCTGCAGCCCCCTTTGGGCACACATCCATCCCATAATGATATATGTTATTGTATCTTTAAGATGACGACAATCTTAAGAGCAAGACTGTCAGTTAGCTTGTTCAGTTAGAGAAGGTAAAGTTCATATATAGATGGGTGTTTGCTTGTTAAAAAAATATCTGTTCTAAATTACTACATTGAATCTGGAACTTCAGACAACACATAGTTCCAGGAGTGAAATACATTGTGTGAAGGTACTCTGGAATATTTGAGGGCTCCAAATCCTTTATCTCTCTCCCATGAAGCAGCTGAGGAATGGGAGAGAGAGAAGCTTGAGTACAGCAAGAAGGGAGGAATGCGGAAAGGGGAAAACTGGCTGTTTTAAATGACGGAAGTTTGAGTAAAGCAGGGGTGGAGAGACACTGAGAGGAAAGTGGTGGTTCTAAACAAGAGCAGAAATCTGAGTAAAGGTGGTATGGTGGAACACTTTAAAAAAAGCACACCCATTTTAAGAAGGAGAAACAGCAGAGATGGGTACAAAACAGAAACTAACATCAAAAAGCTAACACAACTGCCCTCCAAACTCCATTCCCGCTGCACTCACAGCTTGTTTTAAATGCTGACTTCCCCCCACCTCTCTCAAACCTCTGCCATAGTCTAAAAATGTCACGTTCTCAGTTTCCTCCATCTCTGCTTTACTCAAAGCCAGTGTGGTGTAGTGGTTAAAAGCAGTAGTCTCGTAATCTGGGGAACCGGGTTCGCGTCTCTGCTCCTCCAGATGCAGCTGCTGGGTGACCTTGGGCTAGTCACACTTCTCTGAAGTCTCTCAGCCCCACTCACCTCACAGAGTGTTTGTTGTGGGGGAGGAAGGGAAAGGAGCCGCTTTGAGACTCCTTAAAGGGAGTGAAAGGTGGGATATCAAATCCAAATTCTTCTTCTTCTTCTTCTTCTTCTTCTTCTTCTTCTTCTTCTTCTTCTTCTTCTTCTTCTTCTTCTTAACATTGGTGTTTTTTAAACCACCACTTTTCCTCTCTCACTGTCTTTCCCTTCTCAGTCCCATGTCAGGGGCAGTGCTTTTGTGCCTTCACTTTTGTTCCTCTACTCTACCATCACTTTTTACAAATCCAGGATTGTGATACGGTACTGCAAATCACCTAGTGGGGGCTATGTGACAACATTGTTACATTTTTATCAAACAGAAAGAAAACTGTGTAAGCTTACGAGTACCAAGGCTGTACCCAGCAGCAGTGCTCTGCACACCTACATTGCTACTTTGAAGAGCTGTGGAGTAAGAATATAGGGACACCCCAGCTTTCATTGACTATGGGGATTGGGGTGTGTGGGTGAGGATTCAGACTCCCAGCTAACCAAGCTGGTAGGTAATTTGCATGACCCTGTTAGCAGCACTGACCATTGGACCACCCTTGGCTTAGCAACAAAAACACAAGAGTTGTCCATCACAGTTGAAGTGTAACATAGATTGAACCATTTTAAGAGTTAGCAAAACATTTGGGCTGGGTATAAATAGAGAAGCAAAACTGGAAGCAATTAGTTACAAAAGGCTGCTTCTGTGAAGAATTAGACATACGGTGACACTGACCTTTTCCAACACAGGATAGATGTACTTGATTTCTCCCAAGGAAAATTATGTTCTACTTCATACAATCTCACAAATTAGCTTCATCACAATGCGATACTGACGAGAAGTTGCTAAGAATGTCAGAGGATATAATCCAACCAACATCCTGCCTCACTAATATTTTCCCCGCCAAACAAAGCCAGTGAAGAACTATTGCAATTATATATTTTTTGCCTCATATATTCATTGCTCTTGGGTTGTTTGTGCTGATTCTATGCAGTCAGGATATAATGATATCGGATGCAGGAGTTCAGACAGTGGAACTGTTGGTATCTTTTTATTTTACAAAAAGCAAGAGAGACTGACTTGGACTTCCCCTCTCTGCAGCCCTGAACCAAGCTGTCTGCAAGCCCCTGCTCTCCAAAGCTGCTATTAGCCACAGAGAAGGAACTGCAAGGGGCTTAAGCCTCCACAAATAATAGCAGCTTTTGGAAGTGAAGTGACTAGGGATCAGTGTGAGCCTAAAGCAGAGGTGGAGAACCTATGGTCCTCCAGATGTTGTTTGACGCCCAACACCCTTCAACCCCAACAAGGTCAATGGCCAGGAATGATGGGAGCTGTAGTCCCATAATATCTGGGTGGCAATAGAATTCACATCCTTATAGAATAAACATCCCCTTCTTCCAGATCATACTGTGATCCAGATCAGGTTCCGCTGCATGCAGTTTTTTATTTTTTTAAATTCAAAGACTTCAGAATTTCCAGTCACAGAACTCTTGCATCAATTCCAAGCACAATTCAAAGTGCTGGTGCTGACCTTTAAAGCCCTAAACGGCTTTGGCCCTGCATATCTGAAGGAGCGTCTCCACCCCCATCGTTCTGCCTGGACACTGAGGTCCAGTTCCGAGGGCCTTCTGGTGGTTCCCTCACTGTGAGAAGTGAGGTTACGGGGAATGAGGCAGAGGGCCTTCTCGGTAGTGGCACCTGCCCTGTGGAACACCCTCTCATCAGATGTCAAGGAAATAAACAACAATCTGATTTTTAGAAGACATCTGAAAGCAGCCCTGCATAGGGAAGTTTTTAATGTTTGATGTCTTACTGTGTTTTAATTTGTTGGACTGGGCAACCCAGTCAGACAGGTGGCTTCTTCTTCTTCTTCTTTCATTCTTTCATTCATAGTTTGACTCTACACTTAATTAAGTCAGTCCAGCTACACTTTGCATCCTTTGAACTAAGTAAGGCTTCCCTTTTGATGTTTTGGACTACAAAGGTCTTGTACTCTGAAACATTTAGAAGGTATCAGGTTGGGGAACGATAATTCTTGGCATGATACCTACTGAAATATCATCTATTAAACATCTCCTAACACATTAGAACACAGGAGTGCCTGGCATGCTCTGGTCCATGGGGTCATGAAGAGTTGGACATGACTAAACGACTAAACAACAACACCACCACATTATACTTCAAAATTGATGCAGGATAAATATAACCTAGGATTAAGATGTTAGCATTTTAAAAATCAAATCCTCTCCTTTTCAGTTGCTAAGGGTGTTGTGTCTCTTTTCACAAAAGCCTTGGTTCCCAGCTATGATTTTAAATAGCTTTAAAACTCCTGATATATTGCAAATTTATTAGAACTGGGGCTCAGCATGTATTAATAACAACGTGGTTTGTGTGGTGTAGGGTCAGATCAGTAAAGAGCTGTTAACAGATGACAGCTTTGATTACCATTGGCTGCAGGCAAGACATATGGATCCCTTAGGAACAGCAGCACAGGCTGGTGGGACAGTTTGCTAGAAAGGTCAAGAACAGGAATGTCAGCATCAAGGGACAGTAAACTGAATGCACTACAAACTAGCTTTGATAAAGTGAGCTGATGTAGCTGGTTAGGTAGAATGTTTGCTTACATAAACCAATTTTATTGTAAAAGAAACAAAAAACCATCTTCAAGGAATAAAGCTCATTATAGATTAGGTCACATTTTACTCAATACTAAGCATATTTATTCAGAAGCAAATCAAGCAGAGTTCAATGGGACTTACCGTATTTTTCGCACCATAGGACGCACTTTTTCCCTCCCAAAAAGCAAGGGAAAATGTGTGTGCGTCCTATGGAGCGAATGCAGGCTTTCGCTGAAGCCTGGAGAGTGAGAGGGGTCGGTGCGCACCGACCCCTCTCGCTCTCCAGGCTTCAGGAAGCTATCCGCTAGCCGTGGGAGACCCAGCTCTCCCACGGCTAGCGGACCACTGCGCTAATCCAGAAGCTTGGGGCATGCGGAGCACAGCGCGCCCCAAGCTTCTGGGTGCCGGCAAGGTCTCGCTAGCCCTGGGAGAGCCCCGCGACGTTGCGTGGCTCTCCCAGGGCTAGCGAAGCGCCGCGCTAATCCCGAAGCTTGGGGCGCGTGGAGCTCAGCGCGCCCCAAGCTTCTGGGTGCTGGCAAGGTCTCGCTAGCCCTGGGAGAGCCCCGCGACGTTGCGTGGCTCTCCCAGGGCTAGCGAAGCGCCGCGCTAATCCCGAAGCTTGGGGCTTCGGGATTAGCGCTCCGCTCAGCCTGCTTCCCAGAGCGCCAGGCGCCCTGAAAGCAGAGCTCCAGGCGCTTCGGGAACACATCCGCAGCATGGGGAGCCTTGCAGGAATTACCCACAGGACTCCCCACGCTGCGGATAGCAGCCTGCTGCCTGGCGGGTGGGGCGCCCTGAAGCAGAGCACCCCTCGCGCCAGGCAGACATCCGCAGAGTGGGGAGGCTTGCAGGAGTTCCCGACAAGGCTCCCCACGCTGCGGATAGCAGCCTGCTGCCTGGCGGGTGGGGCACCCTGAAGCAGAGCGCCCCTCGCGCCAGGCAGACATCCGCAGAGTGGGGAGGCTTGCAGGAGTTCCCCACAGGGCTCCCCACGCTGCGGATAGCAGCCTGCTGCCTGGCGGGTGGGGCGCCCTGAAGCAGAGCGCCCCTCGCGCCAGGCATACATTCGCAGAGTGGGGAGCCTTGCAGGAGTTCCCGACAAGGCTCCCCACGCTGCGGATAGCAGCCTGCTGCCTGGCGGGTGGGGCGCCCTGAAGCAGAGTGCCCCTCGCGCCAGGCAGACATCCGCAGAGTGGGGAGGCTTGCAGGAGTTCCCGACAAGGCTCCCCACGCTGCGGATAGCAGCCTGCTGCCTGGCGGGTGGGGCGCCCTGAAGCAGAGCGCCCCTCGCGCCAGGCATACATCCGCAGAGTGGGGAACCTTGCAGGAGTTCCCCACAGGGCTCCCCATGCTGCGGATAGCAGCCTGCTGCCTGGCGGGTGGGGCGCCCTGAAGCAGAGCTCCCCGCCCGCCAGACAGACATCGGCCAGCCCCACAAGCTTGGGGGACAGCAGGGAGGCGCAGCGCCACTATGCCGCTGTTCCTCGACCTGGTTCGGTTTCCCTGACCTGCTTTTGGGGGGGGGAAATAAAGGGGAAATTTTTTTCCTTTATTTCCCCCCAAAAAAACTAGGTGCGTCCTATGGTCCGGTGCGTCCAATCGTGCGAAAAATACGGTACTCCCCAGCAATCAAACCTAGTAATCCTGTCCTAAAAAACACACATGCTGAAATGATCCAATTCTAAAGTGAGGAGTTGAATACTGCAGATGTCACACAATGACTTTTTATTTTTAACACTTCAGCATTACTTTGTTTTACCTGCTAGACTGCCTTTTGAGTATTCGGTCAGTTTAAGATTGCATAATTTTACTTTTAACCACATTGTACCAGTTAAAAGTTTTATTAATGCAAGAAACAGCAGATAACATGTACCCACAGAAAGCTTTTTAATGGGTGTTAAAATACGATTTTTAAAACATGCTCATTTATTCTATTGATCTCACATTTTAAAATATGAACAATATATTTCTCAATTGGAAACTGAAGTAGCCACAGCTTACCTTGATTCTTCAGATTCTATTTCTTCAAAAGAGCTGAAATATTATAATACATATAAAATAGGTTACACTGGACATACCTGAAACCCCCAAGCATTACATTCTTAAGAAAAGATCCTCATTAAACAAAAGCAACAGTAATGACAAGGTAATTTCTTTCCCCTAGTCAGTGGGTTGCATGCAACTAAGTTATACCCAGAGTAGAACCATTTAAATTAATGGATCTAAGTTGCTCAAACCCATTCATTTCAATGAATCTTCTTATAATGTTAATGGTCTTTTATGCTATCTTAACAATAAAGCTCCCGGCAGCCCTTTGTCCAAAAATCTTTCTTTATTTCATTGCATCCTGCTGCAGAGATCATGCACTCTGAGTTGTGCAATAGTCCCATTTTAAACAGCACATTACTTCTTCCCTTAAAACCTATTTTAATCAGGAGAGCTACGTACTCAGGAAAAACTCCTGTGCCTAGGACAAAACACAATTTCGGGTAATTGATGTTAAGAGCTTATTTTCTTCTATTAAGTCAAATGCTCTGCCACGGGCAAGACAATAAACAAATACAAGTTTCACTTGTTTCCATGCTTCATCTATGAAACAGCCACTGGAGTGCTGAATTGTTTTTTATAAATCAAGTGCAAGTGCAACCATAATATGAAACTCATTTTGTAAATTGGCAGTGACTATTTTCAGACAGTGGAGTTGTACCAGAGTGTAGAACTAGTTCTACAGTGGGGACTTTTATGCTGTATTTTGAGATTTCTAAGAAAAAGCCTTACCCACAGCTTTCTGCTTTTGGGAGAGAAGGAAAATGACGGATGCTGAGGAAGTCGAGAAAAAATTTGGGAAGCTCTTCATTTTCTAAAATAATACTCTGTAACAAAGAAAATTCCGATCAAGAAAGTGCATACGTTAAATAGAATCTTTCTATTACTTTCATAGAAATAAATATTGTTTTCTTCCTCCTTTGAAATGACACCTCCAAGAGCTGCAGCCACTCAATTTCTAGCATCTCATCCATCATGGTAGCAGAGGAGAGGAAGTCTTCTGAGTGTCTGGAGGTATAGCTGATTTCATTAATGAAAGATTTAGAGCATGTTAACAAGCTAAGGCAAGTGTTTGGCTTGACAGATCAGCTTACAATGCACTGGTTCATCGGTACATGATCGTGATCTGGCAAAAGTTTTGTAACGGAGGGACACTGAGTGTGTGACACTCAAAAGTACTGGAGGAGAAATGCTTATCTTTTACCACAAACAACCATTCAAGGGGGGATCTATCATTTATTAGAAAACTAAATTTTCAATAGATTTAATACAAAATAGGAAGCTTTTATCGGAGTCCTACTATGAAAACAATACATAATTCAGAGTCAGGAATCCTAATGATGTAATCAGAAGTTACTCTCTCCTTCCAACAAGCCATGGGGTGCCAATTTAAATAAAATATGAGGGGGCAGGTAAGCCCCGTCTAATCGATCACATGATGTGGTCCATACACACCATTTGAATAGCAATGCCCATAAATTTAGGAGAAAGGGGCTGGGCCTCTCAAATATTTTATTTTATTTATCTTAGAAGCTGGCTCCTATGACAAGCCAAGAGAAGGAAGAAATAAATTGTAGTGGAATGAGGGCTAGATTTTGATCAGACAGACCTGAGTTCAAATCCTGCTTGGTGAAGAAGCACACACGGTGATCCCTTTTAGGGCTATGGAGATAAAATGGAAAACCTCCAATAGTTTGTTGGAAGAAAGATAGTATAATACTCCTAGTATTATAGTGGCGCCCGCCCTGTGGAACGCCCTCCCATCAGATGTCAAAGCGATAAACATCTACCTGACATTCAGAAGACATCTGAAGGCAGCCCTGTTTAGGGAAGTTTTTAATATGTGACATTTTAGTGTATCTTTCATCTTTGTTGGAAGCCGCCCAGAGTGGCTGGGGAAACCCAGCCAGATGGGCGGGGTACAAATACATCATTATTATTATTATTATTATTATTATTATTATTATTATTATTATTATTATTATTATTATTATTATCCTACTACCACTACCATCACCACCACCACCATCACCACCATAAATGACATCCATCACCCTAGAGGATGAGTTTCTTGTGTATTCTAGATAAGATTACACACAAATGCCTACATAATGAAAAGCATATTTCCACAGGAGAAAAGACCCGATCCTTGAAATCTTAAATAAATAAAAAAAACCCAGTTAATTCCATTTATCCAAGGTAATGAAAAGGAAACCAGATTTTTTTAAAAAAAGTTTTCATATTAAAAAATGCCTCACATTGATCTTGGCTGACAAAGGCAGAAGCTAGTATTGTCTAATATACTTAATGCAACTGCTCACAGAGTAGTCCATAATAAGAACACAGAAGGGCCATAAGATCATTTGTTCCAACCCCACAGCAAATGAGCCTCTAACGTTTGCTAATTTCTCCTGGCATTATTAAGTTCACAGTGTGCCACAAAGGAAGAGGAGAAAGGTATATCCAAGCTAAAATCCACACTACTGTTGTTTGATTTATGACCTCAGCCATCTCCTTTAAGCCCAGGATATTTCTACCATTCCAGGAGGAACAGATAATACAGTGGTGCCTCGCAAGACGAAATTAATTCGTTCCGCGAGTTTTGTCGTCTTGCTTTTTTTTCGTCTTGCGAAGCACGGTGTCGGGAAAGTTTTGGAAAAGCTTCAAAAATCACCAAAGTCTTTAAAAACCTCAAAAAAGGCTACCACACCGCATTCTATGAGTTGCTCCTCGAAGTCAAGTCACAACTGTATTAACGGTTTTAAGAAAAAGGAAACAAACTTGCAAGACGTTTCCGTCTTGCGAAGCAAGCCCATAGGGAAAATCATCTTGCGAAGCAGCTCAAAAAACAAAAAACCCTTTCGTCTTGCGAGTTTTCCGTCTTGCGAGGCATTCGTCTTGCGAGGTACCACTGTCTTGAGTATGTGGGCATTTATTACATCAAGATGGCAGGAAGCAAAGGAGATGGAAGCTATAGGTGAGCATTCTTCAGGAACTCTACAATGGTTCACCACTTGACTGCCAACTGGTCACTAAAGACACATGTCATAAAATCGAACCGCCACTATGGGGACAATCTGGGGCTTTTAGCCACATGGAAGTCTGTCAGCAACCAACCACTGTGAAGGAGGCAGACAACATTGAAGTAGATCTCCATGGTTACATCAGGGTTTTTTTTTACAGATAAGACATAAACCTTGGAATTCTGGCAGGTGAAAAGCCTTCCAGTTCATCTTTAAATGAGAATTCTGCATTAAATGTGTCTTTCATTTGCATTTTGTAAAATCAGCACTCTGCTGCTACAAAATTCATCTTGCTCAGCATGGGAGGAGAGGTGAAGGGAGATGCAAGTCAAAGGGTATGTGAACTGCATAACAATACACGTTATCACAAAGAAAACAAACTGCTAATAGTCACTGATCTAGATACCGAGAGAGAAAGTATCGAGAAAGCTTTGCAGGCAACAAAATCCAATTTTTAATGCAGGCAAATAAAGCTTAGTTTAGTTTAGACTCAGCCTACAGTATACTTTAACGGCCTACAGCAGCATTTCAAGACAGTTGTGCTGCAGGTGTTTTAGACTTGTCAGTGTGGCCAGGGATGATGGGAGTTGTAGCTCAAAACATTCGCAAGGCACCAGGTTGGGAAAATTGTTGTATGCCGTTTAAGTCTGCTGGAACCTATGTGGGATACAAAGTTGATCCTTTTGCTTTCTATAGACTTTGGACAAAAGTTCATCTTAACTATGGTTTAGGAGGGGGAGCCAGTCTGAAGCCAGAGGTTAATTAGCTGAAATCAGAGATTACAGTGGTATCACGGGTATGCTACATGGGCTTCCCCACTCTGATAAGCTTAGTGTGGCAGATTTATCCAACATGACGGCTTATTTTTGGCACACTAGTGTGGAAACTACTGCAACGAGCCCTGCCCACCTGATGTTCTGAACTGCTTTTCCTGCCGTATGCAGTGTCTGAAATTATATCCCCAAAATAACATCTAAATTCCACTTTCTGTAGCCAGAGTAAAGGGGTAAAATAATCCAGATAAAGTTTCGTGACATAGAATCATAGAGTTGGAATAGATCACAAGGGCCATCGAGTCCAACCCCCTGCCAAGCAGGAAACACCATCAGAGCACTCCTGACATATGGTTGTCAAGCCTCTGCTTAAAGACCTCCAAAGAAGGAGACTCCACCACACTCCTTGGCAGCAAATTCTACTGTCGAACAGCTCTTACTGTCAGGAAGTTCTTCCTAATGTTTAGGTGGAATCTTCTTTCTTGTAGTTTGGATCCATTGCTCCGTGTCCGCTTCTCTGGAGCAGCAGAAAACAACCTTTCTCCCTCCTCTATATGACATCCTTTTATATATTTGAACATGGCTATCATATCACCCCTTAACCTCCTCTTCTCCAGGCTAAACATGCCCAGCTCCCTTAGCCGTTCTTCATAAGGCATCGTTTCCAGGCCTTTGACCATTTTGGTTGCCCTCCTCTGGACATGTTCCAGTTTGTCAGTGTCCTTCTTGAACTGTGGTGCCCAGAACTGGACACAGTACTCCAGGTGAGGTCTGACCAGAGCAGAATAGAAACATAGAAACATTTCTTACATTACCTGGGGTACAGGTATAAAGTGATCCTAGGAGATCAAATTCTAGTTGAGCTGAATATTTAATCATGCGTTTGAAAAGAGTGTATTAATCTTTGCCACATTTCACTAACCATTTTGAAGGCTATTTAAGAAGTTCTCTTCTAGAAATGTTTACCAGAAGTGGGGTTTTTTTTGGTGTATTATGTAACAAAACCCCTAAAACCCCTGTTCTTCTACCTTCTCAGCCTCATAAAAAAAGCATTATCCCAGAGGATGTTATTGGCTAGTTGCTCATGTTCTCTCAGTGACATCCCCAATTCTTAATTGTCAGTTATCTTTTCTCCTCTGGTAAGTAAAATATAGTCACAAAATTGCACAGGGACTTGTTCTGCCTTAACCTTAGGTAGATGCCATCACGCAGTAGAAAACAGTGCTAAAATATCACAGGATAATGCTTTCCAGGATGGGAGACATATAAACAGCATAATGATTTCCCATGAGTTTCCTTTTTAAAAAATTGTCACTAAAGCCAGCATAAATGGTGACACATCTTCACAGAGGACACTTTGAAATCGAACCCTGGCATTCTAGTTAGGTCCAGACCTACTCATCAGCCAATTATAACAGTAACTGAACAGCTTGCTAGAAACTTGGACAAGACCATTTCGCTAACCTTCTGAGAGCGCACTGGAGGACTGCATTGTTTTCAAAGATTGATTTCCCCCCCTTTTAACACACAAAACAGCTCTAAAAATTCAGGACACTCCCCGCCCCGCAAGCCACCAATCATCCAACCTAGTTCTTCAAGACCACAACCATCTTCTGGCCAGAAGACTCAGCATGGTATGTGGTAAGAGGCTGTGTTCCTGTAGGTTTAAATCCTTTGTGCGAGATTTCAGTCTGAAATGCCCTATTGTTAGGGTGAAAAAGTTCATGACAGTTTTTCCTCTCTTCACCGGGAGAGATGCTTTGCAATATCTAATTCAGTGGTGCAGCTAAAAATGGGGGAAGGAAAAAAAATAAAAATCAATAAATCCTAGCTACAGTAAGTAGACTGGAGTGTCTGCCTCCACTGGGACTTAAACCCACGGTCTTTATAGAACACTTTGTAGTAGATATTCCTCTGTTTGCCTTGTCTCCAACAGTCGCTTAAAGAGCACTAACAATGATAAAAAGTTGGCAAAAGAACATTATATACTGGTGGGGGACGGGGGGAAACTAAGAAGGTTCCCAAGTAGGT